CCTTCCTTCCTTCCTTCCTTCCTTCCTTCCTTCCTTCCTAGGACCGCAGCTGTGGATCCCTGGTGTGATGGTTGTGGTAGCCATCATTGCAACCTTCATCTTCATAGCTGTTGCAAAAGTCATGAAGAAATGAGCAACTTCTCAACAGCAAACTTCCAAATAAATCTATAATTGCAGATCACACCAGGGCCAGTTTGTAATTTTCTCCCTAGAAAGAGGTTTCAAATGACAGCCGTGCTGAAAAGTTCCGTGTGTTTCCCTGCTGGTCCTCCTTCAATTGAATGAAATTGGTTTCTGAGAGGAAAGGGAGAGGAGAATTTTGGAGAAATTCTCACAAGTTGAATGTGGAGTTCTTGCACTCACTGAATGACCATGTGGCTCAGGAATGGGTGCAAATGCCTTGTCATCTCACTGGCGATCTGCAGACTCTCTGGCTTCCATTAGATCCCTCAGGAGAGCCCTCTTCCTGGGGGCTTTTCCAGACTGGGAAATATGAGCAGCCAGGGAGGCTTCAGGCCAATGGAAAGATGTGGATCAGAAAACAGCAACCCCAGCCATCTCCCCCTTTTCCCTTTCAGCTACAAGCAAGTTCAAATGCACCACTGAGAAATTTGAAAGAAATTCTCAAGTATACTGAGATTAAAGTAGAAAAACAGAGGGAAGAAAACTCTGAAGAAACTCGAAAGCAGATTTCAGGACAGCATTATTTCTGGTGCACAAGCTTGCTTTTTGGAACCACTAAGTTGTGTTGACCTGTGCTCTATTCACACATTGGAGGGGGAAGCCACATAATGACTACAAACACTGGTGTGTTCCAACTTCTGGTCTTGCCTACCTTGTTGTTGTTATATTTTTTCCCCATCTTTTGGGCTAATGAAAGGGGTGTTTGCATGAAGCACAAAGCTTCTAACATTATCTTAAATTATAAGAATGCCTCTTGGCCACCCATTAGATTTCAGAACTGTTGAAATGTGCTTGATAGTTTAGGAAAAAAAATAGTAGTAGTAGAAAATAGCCAGGGAAGCTGGAAAAAAGCAGGGAAAAGCGAGACCCACTTATTTTCTAGAAAATAGTGTTTTAATACTGATCCCCCTTTCTGTAGCTGCCCTTTGCTCCAAGGCCCACAGTCACACCCTCAAAGTGTGCCCACCCTCCACCCGCCAAAGATTGCTTGCCCAGCCGTCCTTGAAGCCTTGAGCCCCGTGAGTTTCCAGAAGAAACCATCTGGGGCTTCATTCAGCAGATGGAAATCTGATCTTTCAGCCCGAGTTCTACCTAGGATGTGCAGAATTTGAAATGCTTGTGACATACGACCTGCTTAATACATTGATTCTATAACGCGCGATAAGTAACTGAGGGAGCTTTAAGATGGGATGGTCCTTCACTCCGATACCTGTTGCCTGTAAAAATTAGACCAGTGTTTCTCAACCTTGGCAACTTTAAGATGGGTAGACTTCAATTCCCCAGCCAGCTGGGGAATTCTGAGAGTTGAAGTCCACCCATCCTAAAATGGGCAAGTTGAGAAACACTGGTCTAGCGTAGCTTTTTGCTAGGATTCCAATGCATGATGTTAAATTTATTTTGTTAGCTGCTGTGGGCTGGTTTGCAGCAGGAGTGGGTAGGATACAAATGTGATAAATAAAATTTGGGTCAATCCACCAGTTTTCATGAACTTCTGCACTTCACATCCTATTTATCTTCACTTTGTTGGCTACCCTCCCTTCCTGTATTTCTTTTCAAGATATTGGCTAGCTTGACATGACTTTTTTCCTGTTCAGCTGAGAGCAAAGTCTTTCTCCCCTTGCATTTCTTAAGCTGAGAGAGATGTTCCAGTAAAAGAACTGTGCAGTGCTTGGTGCTCTCTGAGCTGGGTGGTTTCTTTGCAGATGTTTCATGACTCAACCAGGTGACATCACCACCACAAAGGATATGCACCGGCCTACATTTTTTAAAAAAACAAAACCGATCATTCTTTAAGATAGCCACAGACATTTTCAGTTTGTAAAAATAAATGAGAAGGATGTTGAGCATGTATTTCCCATATATTATCTCTACAATTGCCACTCAAGTGTCCTTTGAAGCCAGGGTTACTAACAGGGAGGCGGTCAAAAAAGTCAAGATGGCAGCTCCAGGCATGCGATCAAAGCCTGCCCCTTTCTCACATGCAAGATGTTGTGGCTGCCATATGACCTTTTGAATGCCCTTCCTGCAGACACCTTTGTGTGCAGCTTGACTTCTTTTCACTCTCCACAACTTTTCAAGCAAAACTGAAAGATGATCTTTGTTCAGAATGCTCTGCCCAGAAGGAAATTGATTTATTGCTTTTGGAAGTGGGCCCAGAAGGAAAGAGGAAAGGCAGAGGGGCAGACGGTGGGAGCTGGACATGAGGTTTGCCAGGAACAGGGTGGGCCAAGGTTAGTCCCGCACCCCCTACAGCCCTGAACCACCAGCCTGGCACAGAACACCCAGACAACTCAGCTATACTTTGCCCAGATGGAATCAAGAAGGCCTCTGCGCTAATAAAATTTTTGTTTAATAAACGTATCTTAAATTTCAATGTACTCTCATAAATCCTTTACACCATAGGAATCTTTTTTAAAAAAATATTTACATTAGAAAAGTGTCATACAAATATGGAAGGAAGACAAGGTCTCTGCCCTGTCGCCTCTGAGCTACTCAGAGTTATGACGTCGCCCACGTCCACCGAAGAAGGGTTTGACCGAGTCCCCGAGGAGGGGCTCCCGCAGGTGCTTCACGCCCCAAGCCCTCCTGGCCAGGACCAGATCAGATGCTGGTGCTGCTGGACTGCAGCTTCAGGCTGTTGGAAGTCGTGCACTGCATGGAGGACGACCTGCGGGACTGCAGCACTTTGGCCAGGTACCAAAGGAAGATGAGGAAGCCTGCAGAAACAGGAGGAGGCCACGGAGGTTAAGCCGTCCCTGGGAGGAATTGGGATGCAGGGATGGAAGTACAGTGTAATG